ATGAATCTAATAAAAACTCAATTTTCAAAAAATTGTAAAAAAGGGCTGTTTTAATAGATAACACCCCATATATGAAACACACCGATTTCAAGTCCGGGTAACTGCATACAAGTTTTTGGTCAATATGTAACTGAAGAATATTTACAATAAAAACTACCGGATTTATTATACGAACCTTCACATTGATATGATTGAAGTCTATATATGAATTAAAAAAATCAAAGTCCCAAACTTGATTTTCAGTAATTTTAAAATTTATACGATTTTCCTTTGAAGAAAAATATTGTTTACGTGAAGTTACATCAGTGGAAATCAACGATCCAATAATAGGATCATAAATAGTATCATCCTTTAGGTGTTCACCGTTTGGAGAAGGCCATGGAGGTAAATCATTACTGTCATTTGAATCTTGAACACGAGCAGAATTAGTAGTAAAAAGTAACGGACTATATGCCCAAGGTTTATCCGAATAAATATCAGCTTCTATGGCGGGATCAATCCATTTCAATATTTTCAATCCTAACCAACTGATGGCAGGTAAATTAATCTTGCGATCAAAGTCATTCTAAAAAAATACAAAGCACGTGATATTAGATACTTTATAAGTACAGAAGTAAACAAACATATAAATGATTTTTTAAACCAAAAAATACCCCAAAAAGAATATCATCAGCCGTCCATTTGTTTCCTTTAAACCTTCCTTGAATTTGTATAGAATATTGATAGTTGTTTTCATTAAAGTAAGGGCTCGATGATAGAGGTTTTTTTTTAGGTGGAGGTACACCTTTAAAATCTCTAACGCGAACACAAATTCTTCCTGTGAAATATTCCGTATCAATAAAAAAAGGATTCTCATCATCATTAGGAAGGAATATAATATGTGACGACGGATCATACGAAGATCCAACAGTTACTTGTAATTTTAACATTTTTTGAAAGATTAGAAGTGAAAAATTAAACGATGATATCATGATATCGATATGTAAATAAAATGAAAACAACGTATAATCGTGGTCACGTGGATCATGTGATCATGTGATCATGTGATAAAGATTAGCCGATCATTTATTATTACGTAAGTCTTACTAATTCATAGTACAGTATTATTAATAAGATCCGAATTTCCGATTGTGAAGGTAAAAAAATCACTCATGACAATTTGACGGATTTAAAGATTCGCGATATACGCGATTTTTGACGTGCTATTCGGTATAATACTTTTAAAATTTTCCAATTGGAACAAGTCGTATATATAAAAAAGGCGATATTCGTAACAAAATCGTTTGTAACAAAATCGTTTGTAACAAAATCATTTGTAACAAAATCATTTGCAAACCAATAACAAGTATGTACATATATATTTTTTATATTTATAGTTATTATTAATGGGGAATTTAGTACAAAAAAATACAAAGATGTATTTTATATAAAAGGGCGTAATGATGCATGACTCGGAAGACTTTTTGAAACGAAAAAAGTAATAAAACACAAGTCTTTTAACGTTTTATATGAGTAAGAACTATGACGCATTTATCCGACGGGATTCGCGCAGTTCTCAAGTTTACAAAATTTATCCGGAGTTTAAAACATATGCTATTATATACGATTATTAATAATATTTAAATGATAATCCTTTCCTATTTAGAATGATCAATGAAAACACTTTTATTACCACATGGTTATATATAATAAGAAATGCTATTTTCGGTTAATAAGTAAAGACTTTTTAGTGAATCACACAACGCACAGCCATCCCCGCGTAAGCAGATTTTAAGAAGCCCAGGGTTTTTTGGTTTAACTTAATTCTATCAATATTTGGTGTTAGTAGCATGATA